ATAAATATATATGCATATATATATATGTATATATATATGATCAACGAGGTATCATACCTGGCTAAGGGAAGGTCCTTATAATGCCACAGGCTACACAGAACATCTTACCCGTACAATTACCTCAACGTCATAGATTTGTAATATGCTTCCCACCAGAGGAGCACTCCACCGCAACCACAGAATCTCAGACACTATATAATTACGAAATCAACCATTGCGTACCAGAATATCACGGCAATATATGGTGGGGTGTATCACACACATGTCCAGACAACACTTGGCCTGATATCATCAGACACACACACCACCGACGGCTTAAGCCTGTGCTTAAACACAACAATTTAGACATATACACTCTAGAGCGACAAAACACAGACAACTGGATGCTCAACTTCCTTATCTTAAAAAACACATGTCGTGGGCGTCTTCGGCCCGTCGACATTGGCCACTTCGCCAGAGGGACAACGCACAGGTTCATACACATTGCTGTAACCTAAAGACGGCCGCATCCCTTACAGAAGCTTTCTCACAGTCATGACGACAACTCACGCAACACTTATACGGCAACATTTCAAACACAAACAAACAAAGCTTGGCGTGTAACGCTTACATTGTGAACGCCGAAAATGGTTGCGATATTGTCGGTTTTCCACTCGCCCCTTGCAACAAGAACTATGGACAGACGATAAAACAATTACACTTGCATATCAAAATCATACAGGCTACCACAGATACCTTCTCCGTCACAGACTGAGATCGTCGACGCAAGACGTTAGAGATACATCGGTATTTCTCGACTAGGCCATGAGGAACATGCGGTGCCTCCCACCCCCGAGCAAAACCTAAACCCTAAAAGCTCTTATCCACCGAAGGTGATGTCATCGCCCATCACACTTCACTCACTTTCGGTACACCCTATGCACGTGGGAAAGTGTTCAGTCGTCCACTCTCTCACACCATGATGAAACCGATTGACTCACACACTCCGATCCGCACAGTCTTCCATGCTGATCTCGAAACAGAATTACCCACTTCCCCAATCGGGTATGCCTGTTGTATATCAAATACATCGAACCATACACCGGCATGTATGCCATTTGTCTACAATTACAAAACCAGGGACGATGCTAGTGCTGAAGTCGACCGCTTCTACACTGACATCGGCAGAGAATACCTCGCAAAGCTCACCGGGATTAAGTATGACCGCGGCGGTGGATTCACACGCTTACACTCCGGAATAACATCATCACACAACAGCACATCAAGATCGCGTATGTAACTACGGCTTAGCCAGCACTACACGGCCTCATCGAGCTTACAAAGGGCAGTCTTAAGAAAATATAGTTGTTTATATATATATATATATATATATATATATATATATATATCCACACAGCAAGCTCTGGCTAGTACATTAAATTATAGACAGCATACAATCTACACGATGCATATCACCAAAAAAAAATATGACAACGCAAGTCAGTGACCAAAAAGCGATCAATTGCGATCATTTGTTTAATGAGTTCACATTGGGTTGAACCTGAATTGCGCAAGGCAATGCTATATTTGTTCAGTTTCAGAACTGATTACACATGCACAGGCGTTCACGATCGATACACAGATAACTATGTAAGCAGTCCGAATTCACCGTACGCGCCCATTGTCGAACACGACTTGCAATGAAACTCTCAAAGAATCCATTCCAGGACAAGCATACTTTCTGCGAGTCTCATGTTTACGAGATGATCCTATGTATACGTCCGTCATCCAGGTATCCATTAGTAGCTTGCAGGGTAATCCTTCTACAGTGCTATTATAAGTGTAAGACTATGGTGTTCACGACAGACTATATGCGTGGAAACATAGGAAGCTGTAAGCATATAAGTGAATGCCTTCATACACATGGCGAGAAGAGTTATGAATAAAACATACAAAGCCGGTGACCGCTAGGGTTTGGTAGGGTTTATTCTTTAGCACATTTGTTCCGGAAAAATTCTTTACGGAACAAACGTACCCGATAATAGACTGCTGGTACTATTTGTTCTATAAAGCCTTGCGCAGTATTACAGATGTGTGGTAGTTACTATTGTACTACATATTCAGTAGAACGAATCTCACAGCTGTTATCCGAGGATACAGTTAATAATTAGCATGTCGACAGCACAGGTGCTGTGCCGCTACTATGCTAGCGGGTGCTGCAAGCGTGAGGATTGTGGCTTCCTTCACGACTTTAAGGGGAGAATGAACATGGTGTGTGCAGAGGACATTTGTTGGAGGAATCAGATACTACTGTACTATAGGGAGTGTCTATAGTTATTTAACAACAAGTAGTGTATGCAACACAAAGTGATCAACCACGTATCTCTCTCTGTTCTTCTGAGCGTTTGCAAAACTTGCCCAATAACCCGGTTGACTGCAACATGTGTGTTTTGCTATATAATTGCATGGGGTTGTTCTGATTCTGCATTGCACGCGTGTGATGCCAATCCACAGATAACCCTGTTGACTGCAACATGTATGTTTTGCTATATAATTGCATGGGGTTGTTCTGATTCTGCCTTGCACGCGTGTGATGCCAATCCACAGATAACCTTGTTGACTGCAACTTGTGTGTTTTGCTATATAATTGCATGGGGTTGTTCTGATTTTTGCCTTGCACGCGTGTGATGCCAATCCACAGAAGACGTGTCTGACAGACGATGTGGTGGATATAGATTTGTATTATGACCTATTTGCCTTCTAACCGTAGTCTATACTACGAACACCTGAAAGCAAAACAAGTAGCAGCACGCTGGTGTCATGCACGTTTCCCTCTATGAATGCTCACACAGTCATCATATGAGCATAACTACGCTCACACCGATTGGTACTGACCACTCGCGCGTGTCTATCACTTATAGATGCTCACGGAGTCATCATATGAACATGACTACGCTCACACCCATTGGTACTGACCACTCGCGCGTGTCTATCACTTATAGATGCTCACGAAGTCATTATATGAGCATAACTACGCTCACACCCATTGGTACTGACCACTCACGCGTGTCTATCACTTATAGATGCTCACAAAGTCATCATAGGAACATTAGTTGGATTACGCAATAACCATATGCGCATGACTACACTCACCCCCCCCCCTCTATTGGGACTGACCATTCGCGTGTGTCTGTTGTACGTTGCATGTGTGCAGTCGTGCACTTTCTTCCTGCATGGCCAGTGTACCTACGGGTCGAAGTGTCGGTACGACCACGTGCGGCCCAATAAGTCGCAAGAAACGACCACCACAATCAATGGCACTGCCAGGAAACCACAAGGGTATCCGAAGGTAGGATTTCTGTTTGTTTTATATCACCGTTTCTGCATGCCGTACTCGCCACGCTTGCGCATGTGCACACGCTTGCGGATATTCGGAGTGGCCGGGGTTGAGGTTTCCTCGGGTTGCGGGATAAACGGGGGTTTACACCAGGGATTTGTGTGTTGGAAAGTGTACGTCGTTGAGTGGTGAGTTGACAGTGCACATGTGTGTGGCAAACGTACCTGATTGAAAAGATACGTGCAAATCTCGATAATTGAGCAGGCGTTATAGTCCTGGGTGTAGTATACGGCTCTGTGTGACGCCAATGTCGGCGACCCATGTCACGTGCTAGTCACACCTCTGTCGTGCATAGTCATGTGTGCTACTCTGAAGCCTTTTGCTTGCGGTGTGTTGCTATGTAAGAATGTCAGGACTTGCCGTGTGTATGTGTACGTGTCAGTGGTCCGTATGCGCATTTGGGAAGTTGGGCATGTGCATGGCAAAGGGTATGTACCGAAAATACCATCACAATGGATCTCAAGGGGGTGGCCTTGTTTGTCTATTGGATGTGTTTAGAATCGCAGCGTGCAGCGGTTATTGTCAAAGCTGGGTGCCAGTAGACACTTCATTTTACTCTGTGATACCAGCCTTGCGATGAGGTGGTTGGTGGATATACATACCAAAGCAGAACCTCGAAGTGTTTCTTTCAGAAGGCTATGAAAATCTATTTTTGATTTGTTTTATTGCAAATATCACAGAGAGTGGGCACTGCGTCACTCGGTAGAGATAACCCAACGAGACAAGCGCAGGACTCAGCTAAGGCACCATTGCCCACACACACACAACCACACACACAACCACACACACAACCACACACACAACCACACACACAACCACACACACAACAGTCACGCAATGCGACGCAACACACTGAAAGCCACCACAGCACTGGCGAGCGCAGCACGACAGTCGGCAGTGGCATCGCCCCACTGTCCACCGACGCACCTGCGTTCCAACCCAACCAGCCGTACAGACCAACCACAACCAACCAAACACAAACGCACACGGACACGCCTGCACATCCCAGCACCACCACCCCCACCAAAGCATCGGCAGGCACCACAGCGGTCAACCCAGGCATGTCATTCGCTGGGGCTGCCAGGAGCGGTCTCACATATGCACAGCCAGCTGCGGCCGAGGCGGAGACAGCGGAGTCCGCTGCGGAGAAGGCCTTGCGTGACGCACTGCTGTGTCCGTTTGCAATGGCGGGAAAGTGCGCGTTTGCGGTAGGTAGATGCAAGTATGTGCACGGAGACGTCTGTGAGGGGTGTGGCAGGCAGTGTCTGCACCCACACAACACACAGCAACGCACACAGCACCACGCCACATGCCAAGGCAGCGCAAGACCACCACCACCCGACGATGGGCTTACAGCGGAGATGTATGCGACGAGTGGTGGCACAGGAGACTTTGAGGATACTACTGGACACGCTGCGACTGGTGATGCGGTATGGGTAGTTTGTGGCTGTTGTGGTGTGCTATGGTTAAGTGCTGTATGAGAATAGCAAGGGTACCTATGTGTTGTCTAAGGAATTGGAGCTTGAGTTGAAGGAGGAGATGGCACAAGTACCACAATGGATATATATATA